TTTAGTACGCTTGTCCAATTCCCCAAGATGCACAGAAAACCTCAGGCACCAACGTTGTACGATAAACAGGAAGTCGGCCATTTTGGGTCGAAGGTCATTTTTGGGAGTTTCTAATTGCGAATTTTAACCAACTCCTGTTTGGAATTTTGAAGGATTGCCTTCAAACTTGTTTGATATGCCCTTAAGTCATTGGAGTGTAAAAGTTATTTAAAGCTTGCGTTTTCATATATGTTAAAGGGGCGTGGCCAGGCCTCAAAGTTTTGTTTCATGCCATAAATTTCCAAACACTATAACTTTCACATTAAAAGACCGAAATGCACGAAAATTGGCATGACTCATCCCTGTTGGATGCCCGACAATCCACTGTGGTCATATTTTGATGTCATCAAAGCTCCGCCCCCTCGAAACACGAAGTCTCTTTATTAACTTGGAATGCTTCCTCTTTGGCACCATTGACCTAATCAGGATGATCCTGTGTTAGAAGACAGATAATATGGTATGACTTGATTTAAAGCACAAACCGTTTTTGATTGAGGATGTGGGCGTGGCGAATTAAGAAGTGACGCCGTTGCAATACGTTTGGCTCTAAATTGCACAAATTTTAGCCGAGGTGCACAAAAAACACTGATCATTATCCGCCCCTTGAACAGGTATCCATGATAAGTGGCCAATAGCCTCCACAGCGCCACCTACATTATTCCTACAGTTATAGCTCAGTGATACAAATCCAATAGTCGCTAAATGCTTTGAAAAACTGGTCATGACTCACATCAAAGCAACCATCAACATCAACGAGGACCCTCATCAGTATGCATACCGTGAGAACCGATCAACAGAGGATGCAATCTCCTCTGTGGTCCACACTGCGCTCAACCACCTGGAGCAGAAAAACTCTTACGTCCGTATGCTCTTTGTGGACTTCACATCCGCCTTCAACACCATGATCCCCCAAACCCTGATGGACAAACTATCCACACTAGGACTAAGCCCCTCCATCTGCAACTGGGTACTAGACTTTTTAACAAACAGACCACAGTTAGTGAGGATCCACAACCTCTCCTCCTCCACCATAACCCTCAGCACTGGCTCTCCTCAGGGATGTGTGTTGAGCCCCCTCCTGTTTACTCTGCTCACATATGATTGTGCAGCTACCCATCCAGGCTGTCACATTGGAAAGTTTGCAGATGATACAGCGGTGGTGGGATGCATCACAAACAATGATGAGTCCAGCTACAGGCAAGAGGTGGAACACCTGGAGAGCTGGTGCAAAGAGAATAACCTTCACATCAATGTGAAGAAGACAAAGGAGATGACTGTGGACTTCAGAAGGAACAAAAACACCTACACCCCCCTGAACATAAGAGGATCTGCGTTGGAAGTGGTCTCCAGCTACAAGTACATGGGTGTACACCTGAGCAACAACCTCAGCTGGAGCAACAACACCACCAGCCTGATCAAGAAAGCTCATCAGAGACTCTACTTCCTCAGACGGCTGAGGCGAGCTGGTCTGGGAAGCTCAGTCCTTACCTCCTTCTACAGGTGTGCAGTGGAGAGCATCCTGTGCTCGAGCATCAATGTGTGGCATGGAGGCTGCACAGCTGCAGAAAGAAAAGCTTTGCAGAGAGTGGTGAAGGCTGCACAGAAATCTGTTGGAATCAGCCTCCCCACCATCACAGACATCTACACCTCCAGATGCAGGAAGAGGGCCACCTGCATCATGAAGGACCCCACTCACCCAGCACACAC